CCTGTGTTGAGGGTATTTTACTCAGAGGCCCTGTGTTGAGGGTATTTTACTCAGAGGCCCTGTGTTGAGGGTATTTTACTTAGAGGACCTGTGTTGAGGGTATTTTACTCAGAGGCCCTGTGTTGAGGGTATTTTACTTAGAGGCCCTGTGTTGAGGGTATTTTACTTAGAGGACCTGTGTTGAGGGTATTTTACTCAGAGGCCCTGTGTTGAGGGTATTTTACTTAGAGGCCCTGTGTTGAGGGTATTTTACTTAGAGGACCTGTGTTGAGGGTATTTTACTCAGAGGCCCTGTGTTGAGGGTATTTTACTTAGAGGCCCTGTGTTGAGGGTATTTTACTTAGAGGACCTGTGTTGAGGGTATTTTACTCAGAGGCCCTGTTTTTAGGGGTGTTTTACTGAGTTTCTGTGTGGAAGGGTATTTTTTATTAAAGGCCTGGGTGGAGGGGTATTTTACCTAGAGGTTTTGTGCTATGGGGATTTCTTTTAGAGGCCCTTAGCGCAGTTTTTTTTTACTAAAAGGCCCTGTTTGGTGGGATATTTTACTTAGAGCACTGTGTTGAGGGGTATTTTACTTAGTGGCCCTGTGCGGAGGGTTATTTATCATAGAGGCCATATTGGAGGGGTATTTCTCTTACATGCTGTGTGTCGAGAGTTTTTTTTTTCTCTTAGAGGCTGTGTATAAAGGGGTATTTTACTTAGAGGCACTGTTCGGAGGGGTATTTTACTTAGAGGCCTTGTGGGGAGGGTTTTTTCTCTTAGAGGCTGTGTGTGGAGTTTTTTTCTCTCTTAAAGGCTGTGTATAGAGGGGTATTTTACTTAGAGGCCCTGTGTGGAGGGTTATTTTTTATTAGATGCCTGTATGGAGGTGTATTTTACCTCAAGGTCTTGTGCGATAGGGTATTTACAATGTATCTTAGAAGCCCTGTGTTGAGGGGTATTTTACGTAGAGGCCCTGTACTGAGGGGTATTTTACTTAGAGGCCATGTGTGGAGGGTTATTTTTTTTTATTAGAGGCCTGGATGGAGGGGTATTTTACTGGGAGGCCCTGTGTTGAGGGGTATTTTACTGGGAGGCCCTGTGTTGAGGGGTATTTTACTTAGAGGCCCTGTGTTGAGGGTTATTTTACAGGGAGGCCATGTGTGGAGGGTTATTTTTTTTTATTAGAGGCCTGGGTGGAGGGGTATATATATTTCAGGGGCACATAGAGCATAAGTGAGGGTAACCCCTGGAGTATTGTACTGTGATTGCTGAGTATGACATATACTTCAAGGTCCATTTTATTTATTTTATGTTGTATTTCAAATCATTCCAATGCTAACTTTTCGTTTTAGGCTACTTGGAAATTATCAGTGGAAAGGTTCATTTACATGTAGATCATACATTGCATCACTTTCATACTATGTGTGGTGCCCGCCTGACCTATATTTCACGGTCCATTGGTTTTGTTGATGTCACATAGTAGTTTTATTTGCAAGTTAAAAACAGATAGTTTGTCAGTAGATAGAAAAATACTTGTGATGTGTGTTCTTCAAAGTGAAACTCAGGAATAATGATTTTGTATGCATTGATGAAATGAGAGATATATATGTCAACTGATTGTATATCTAAAGTTTTAACCGATAATACGTATAAAACGTTTGGCTACTGATAAAGCTGCGAATAACTTACTTCGGTAGACAATTTCTCTCCCTATTTTAAAACAAGTTCAAGTTTATTAATTACGTTAAGCTGCATATACAATGTATACAGTGCAGCATAAAGTAAAAAAGTAAACAACAACAAACATGCACAGCACCTCCGCACTTATTACATTTCTACTACAAGAAATAATGTACTAAATAATAAAATAACATTTGATGTTAAAGATATATTATGTATTACTGACAAGCACTTACTCAATACATTTTGTCTTCTTCTACTGGAAATACTTATGTATTTTGTCGAAAGCCCTGTCTTTTATATTTTCTGTGGACAACAACTTACATGTAATATATTCATACCTACTTGTATGTCTGATTTAGTAAAGTTTAATAAAGGGATTATGTAAATCTGAAAAACTGGACATTTAAGAACAAAATGAAGTTCATCTCCCCCCATCATGTAAGACACATAACGAACAAACCTTGTTTCTGTTTTCAATACCCTGGTATCTACCAGTTTCTGTATTTAGTTTATCGGACAAGGTTTTAAACTCTACAAATAATAGTTGACGTATCTTTTATGATACAAACGCATATTTATCACATAATGTAATGTGTTAGCCAGTGAATATAACCATTTATCAAATAATGTACTGTTATCCAGTGAATATAACTATATTTATCACATAATGTAATGTGTTATCCAGTGAATATAACTATTTATCACATAATGTAATGTGTTATCCAGTAAATATAACCATTTATCACATAATGTAAGGTGTTATCCAGTGAATATTATACAATTATGGACTTTTGTGCTGGTGAATATGATGTGATATGAACCTGAAAATGTGATATTAACAGAGGCGAAGCCGAGGTCAATATCATTTTTTCAGGTTCATATCACATCATATTTACCAGCACAAAAGTCCATAACTATTTTATTATATGCTTCAACAGTCAAATAAAACAAAACTCAAGGTTCAGATTTTCGTACGCGAGCATCCGTGTAAAATTTAGCCAGGTTTGAATTCAACAATTCAGCATTGTAGCTTTCGAAGGCATCGTCTAGGTTCTTTTTCTTAAGATAAACATGGAGGACATGCACTGCTTGTTAAATGGTCTTTTTTATGTAAACAGCATCTTTATCCTCGAATGTTTGGTAATTTTCTGATGTAATGGAGGAGAAACGTTCGCCAGCAACCATCTTCTATTGTCGTCTGACAGATCGTGTTCCGGTTTAACTACGCATGCGCTACGACAGGTTCCGGGGAATTTCCATATAGGCTATAATTAGAAATCGATATTCACCGGATAACCAGTCTACATGAGTTTTTGAGGACTGGTCACGTGTAGAGGATCCGACCAATGTGATTGCCAGAAATGTTCATACATATAATAAAACCATTTATCACATAATGTAATGTGTTAGCCAGTGAATATTATACAATTATGGACTTTTGTGCTTCGCCTCAGTCAATATCACTCTTTCAGGTTCATATCACATCATATTTACCAGCACAAAAGCCCATAACTGTTTTATTATATGCTTCAACAATAAAATAAAACAAAACAAAACTAAAGGTTCAGATTTTTGTACGGGAGCCTCTGTGTAAAATTTAGCCAGGTTTGAACACAACAGTTCATCATTGTAGCTTTCGAAGGCATCGTCTAGGTTATTTTTCTTACGATAAGCATGGAGGACATGCACTGCGTGTTCAATGGCTTTTTGTTTACGATAACAGCACCTTTATCCTCGAATAGTTTTGGTAATTTTCCTAACGGAAGAGAAACGTTCGCCAGCAGCCATCTTCTAATGCCGTCCTACAGATCGCGTTCCAGTCTAACTGGAATGTTAGACTGTCCAAAACCATATTTGTGAGGTTCTATGGTTGACGTTACAGTGAGAGTTCCGCCATAGACAGGCCCTCCAAATATTGATAACTGGACAAGTGGAGAACGAAATATTTTCCGACACTGTTACAGATCTTGTTTCGGTTTCACAGAGACATATATTATCGATACGTCTCTGGGTTTCACGACCTGGACCTGCGACGGTATGGCGTAGAAACGATATTGTAGCAATTTTGCCTGAAACTAGCGATCAAATCTTTAAGCATCATCTTCTTTTGGTATTGCCTTAATGACCCCCTTTTTCCATCGCATTACCTCAACGAAGTCACCAACGTTTGCCGGATGTTGACAGCAGATGACGTAAACAAAACAACATGCGGTAAAAGGCGCGTGAAAAAATTCGTCCAGGCAATTAAGTTCATCTTCTCGACCAATCAAAACCACGGAAGGTGATATACCACGTGTGGTGTATAACTCATATTTATTCAACAGTCTGCATGTTTATACAATGATCTGAGAGTGGAGTAACACAGCGTATTGTGGTAGAAAACAATTTACCACATAATGTACTTTGTTATCCAGTGAATATTAAGTTATTAACCCCATATGTTATTTGACCTATCAGCCCTGTGATTAGTTTTAAGTTTTCAATTGATTCAATTGTGACGTCACGCCTAGGACAAGTACATGATGTCACAGACTTACACACTGGAGTCAAAAAATATTGCGTTTTACAGTACATTTCAAGGTTGCATGAAAATTGTCGTTTTCCACGAAAAAATGCCACAAATCTTGATAATGTGATAAAAAGGATCTTACACCCCTTTTAATTCATATGAAATTTATGAAACTCGTCACATATTTATCATTTTAGCTCGCCAGAGGCTCGCTAAATTGGAAAATTCTTAAGACTGGTTTCATAAATATCATATAAAATGGAAACTCATGTAACATCCTAAATGCTATTTTTTTTTGCGTATACACCCATGTAGTACAGTATTATTTTAAAGTAATTAACAAACGCTTGTGCAATATTATAATATACAACGGGACCGGATACAGGAAATTTGACTTATACACAGAGGACACAGGAAATGTGGCTTATACACAGAGGTCGGAAACTTGATATATGCGACAGGGGCCAATTAAAGGGGTTGTGGTTGGAGGAAGGACAATAAAGGGGACGTAGGAATTTAACGGACTAGACTGCCCCCCCCCCCCCCCTCTGTCTCTAGAATATTGATATTGAATTATTAAGAAAAAAAAAAACCACTAACGGTCTGGTTCTAAACTAGAGGGGGGGTGGGGGGCGGGGTTAAAATCTTCACAAAACATAGGGGCTGGTAACCTAGAAACGGTCACTTGAAGCATAGACTGGAGTAAGTGAATGGGTCGTTACCCTGATAAATAGCATTTTGAAACTCTTCCTCTTCCTGACCCTGTTACTGTGGAATACAGAGGTTTTCTCCCTTTGATGGAAAACTACATAATTCACAGGATCAAACAGTATTGGTAATTCAAAATGAAAGGAGAAATTTGAACTGAATGATATGGCAGATACCAAAATTGTGACCTGCAGTTTGTAATATAACATATATTTTCACTTTCGTATGAAAACAATTTTGTTCTTTTCCAGGTATCTTGCACTTGATGATATGGGTACCTGATAAAGACCCGGTAGACAAGGCTAACTGCAGATGCACGTGCTGGGACACTGTTTTCAAAGGTAAACAATCCTAAACTCCGTTTTAGAATTAGTCTAGGATATGAAGCCATAATAGACGGGATTGAAATGTAGTGAAAATATAGGTATTGCTAACGTTTTGTGTACATTTTGAGGTTCCAATCCTCGATACTCCAGAGGTTACCCTCTCTTTCGCTCTCTGCACCCATAGAATAGTAAATTTGAAGACATGCGGCTAGCTATTTTATTGATATCCGGTAAAAAAAACTTACCAATAGCTAGGTTCATATCTGTCCTTTGAAGATTAGACAGGAGTGACAACCGACTTCAAAGCCAGTAAATTTTACCGCCACGCGACCGCAAGATTATTTTGATCAACATCGAAGGATCAAACTAATCTTCTCGTCTCATCCGCAAGGTGGTGCACACGGAGCCTTCAATTTTGCTGACATATTCCAGAGGTGTAGAGAGCGAAAGTGAGCGTAACCCTTACCAATTTAACAACGGTTTTGAAATGTATAATTTACATATATCAACTTGAACTTAAGTTTTCAAATTGATACATCTCAAGTGACCTATTGCGATCGCCTTTTGTCCAGCGTCGTCCGTCGTCCAACATGCGTCCGTAAACAATTTACGTTTTCGACTTCTTCTCCAAAACCCCTGAACCAATTTCAATGAAATTTTGCAGAAACTTTCCATGGCCAAAGGTCAACAAAAATAGTGGCCGGTTTGGTCCCCAGCCCCCAGGGGACAGAGGGGCGGGGCCAAAAAGGGTCAAATTGACTAAAATTTCAAAAGTCTTCTTCTCAAGACCCAGATATGGTAGAATCAAATACTCTTCATAGATAGAAGGGTATTAAGGTGCTTTACCCATATTGTGAATTTCTTGACCCTGGGGTCTCGCGTTTTCCCCTGGGGAGGGGGTAAACTTGAGTATAGTTTATATAGGAAAATCACATTTTGGACCAACATTTGTTTAATTTCCATTGGAAGTAATTCAATTTAGGTTAGCATTATCAGTATTAGGTAGCAGTTTGATAGTATGCACATATGAGCCCTGACTGGCCCCCAGGGGCTGATGGGCGGGGCCAAAAAGGGTTGAATTGACTTAAATTTGAAAAATCTTCTTCTCAAGACCCAGATATGGTAGAATCAAACACTCTTCATAGATGGAAGGGTCCTAAGGTGCTTTACCAAAATTGTGAATTTCATGACCCCTGGGTCTCATGTTTCCCCCTGGGGAGGGGGTAAATTTTACTATAGTTTATATAGGGAAATCACATTTTGGACCAACATTTGTTTAATTGCCATTGGAAGTAATTCAATTTAGGTAAGCATTATCAGTATTGGGTAGCAGTTTGATGGTATGCACATATGAGCCCTGATTGACCCCCCAGGGCTGATGGGCGGGGCCAAAAAGGGTCGAATTGACTGAAATTTCAAAGGAAAGGGGGAGGGGGCAACATTTATTATGGTTTATAATGGCAAATGATACTTTGAATATTACATGTTAATAACTTGATTGGAATTATAACCTTGAGTTGACAGTTTGATACTATGAACATTTTGAGCCAGCTCTACCCACAAGGGCTGTAGGGTGGGGCCCAAAGGAGTCTGTGTGCTAAAATTTCTTCATTTTCCTTGTTTAGAATCAGAGTTGCTTGTTTCAAATACTTTTTAGTCTTAAATCTGTATGCTAGATATTGAATAAGGTGGTTTTATCGTTTTTTGTCACTTTGAATAATATTTCTGTTGGTGTTAAATACAAAATCCACTCTCTGTATAAATATATCAGGTGACCGTTAAGGCTCATGGGCCTCTTGTTTTATAAATTGCGCCGGCCGGGGTAGAGGAGGCCAGGTATTAGTATTAGTACTAGTAAGCTGACAGTGACCAGTCGAAACAATACAAAACCATCGTAAAAAGCCGCCGTAACATAATCTAACGACATATATACAAGTTACAATTGAACTTTCTTTAACGGATGTCCTTGAATGACCTTAGCTGTTCAACTTAATTCAGTTTATTCCAAAAGCAGTACAGCTTATAGGAGTTATAACATACATGTGTTAAACATAGTAAAATCAATCAATGTGAAAACAATTTCACCCCTTGTCATACATCGAGCAATTAATAAATGCACTATACAAGATAACACAATAATATTACTACATGTATCAGCTGTCACGCCTGGCAGTGGCAGTACACAAAAATTGTCCAAGATTATATAGTTGTTACATTCCTTACAGACAGAAGTTGTACAAGCTTAAAGACAGAAGGGCGACGCCAGAAATATGGCTAAATATATTTTTATCTAATATCAGAATAAAAAGTACACGCAAGAAATCGAAGCATATGTCGTGTTCTGTATCTGTATATTACTGGAAGACCTTAAATTTGAGTATAAATTCCAGGGTTGGAGGAGTGCGCTTTTAGTTTATATTGTTTCAGTTTGTAGTGCTGTCTTGAAGGTCTTCTGGTAGGTTATTCCACTCTGTTGTTGTTTTCAATATGTCCGCATTACACTGGAAATGTCGGTAATTTTCACTATTTTTCGATCTGGTACGGGTGTTTGATGAAGTCGATATGTGATCTACAGGTATGGCCACTAGCCCCTTCACGATCTTATAAAAAGGGCAAGCCGATGGTCTCGCCCACAGGGGCATGGATCGCTTTACCTGTAATATAAAAAATAGGGGTCTCCTATACTAATATATACAAAGGGATATAACGACACACTGAAATCCGTTACCCCCTTTTCTGTTTCAGTATATATTAGTATAGGAGACCCCTATTTTTTATATTACAAGTAAAGCGATCCATGCCCCTGTGGTCTCGCCTGCGGTCCTTTAGTGGTGTTAGTTTTAGAGTGTCCATCATTTCTGTTATACTGCTGTACCTTCTATAGTTTGATGTTATAAATCGGGCAGCGCGGCGTTGTACCTTTTCCAGCGAGTGGATGCTGTATTGCTGGTAAGGGTCCCATATCGTGCAGCTGTGTTCCAGGACGGATCTCACCAACGATTTGTATATGGGCACTGTCGCAGGTTTCGTCTTAGGAATCCGATAGTGTTGCCATAAATGGGCTTGCATGTTGTAAACATTATGGTTTTATCTGTTTAGAATATTTATGTCACGTCATATTCATTTATAACTATTAAGGATCCCCGTACTACCATTCTCGCGGATGCATACTACTGCCAAAAAAGTGTAAATACGGATTGGAAACTGTCTTTTCCGATATGACTTTGGCTGTGATACATGTAAGCCATTTCCGAAAAGAAAAGCTTTACATCAACAAACATAATGTTCTTTCTACATCACTTAGTTTTAACGTAAACTTTCCATAACTCCCTCACTTGAGTTTCAGAACCACAGTACATTATTAAATTGAGTGTTAATATTCAAAATATAAACAGAAAATGATTGAATGTTAACAGGGACAGTATATCACTATACGTCCATGATGAGTAAACATTATTTATTTTGTAAGCTAAATAGGAGTTATCTCCCCTACACCGTTTAAATACATAGGCCTACCAAGCTGATGTCCAGTCTAAAGTCAGTAACATCTGTTGAAATTGAAAACACAGTAAATATAAATAAATCCATCAATTAATTATCCATATTAACTAGGTCACACATTAAACTTTAACATATATTCACTTGATTATTTTAGAATCCATGTTTACCAGGAAACATGTTTTATAAACAAAATTAAAACAAATAAAACAGGGAGAGATTCGAAATAATTCATGGCTTTATCTAAATGATAACCCCATTTTATCCACATTTTGTAGGTAACTCTGTGTACTTGAAACACCTTTCTCTCTTAATTTGCGATCAGTTTTATTTAGGTAACAGTCATCTATAAATAAACATGAACATAGGACTCCACTTAATCTAAATATTCATGGTATTTTTGTATCCATGCAAACAAGGTTATATTTATGAACATTGCAAATGCCATTCAATCCTTATATTTATATTCTAAATGTCTAGTAATTATTGATGTTAAAATAGGTTTTCACTTATATTTTTGATTTTACCAGTGCATACGAGATTTTTGGAATAGCCTATGTCACCAAAATGTTTGCTTCTAACGGTTGTCACACGTTATTCGAGGCGGGAGGAGAACCATCAAAATGACGCTGATTCTTTTGTGTTCATAGCCCTATGAACGCAATGTCTTATGACGATGCTTGAACTTGCAGTAGAAATTTAAATTTGATTCCGTGTATGTATTTTGTTGATTTTATAATGTTGGTAACCAAAATGAGATTGTGTATTTCTTTTCAGTGTATAATAAGAATTGTTTTCTTTGCAGGGTCGTACCAGAATCAAAACGACATCGGATATAAACATTTCTACTTCAACGCCACCTTACAAACCTACGTCATATGGATTATCACGGTCTGTCATATGATAGCTTTATACGAAGCTGTCAAATACTTGTGGCTGACGTTCACGTCCGGTGATATCCGAACGTCAATGGTCTTTCTGTTTCTCTTGGACATTTACCCTATTTATTACTCGTGGTGGAATTACACAAATTATTTCAACGACGATTTCTATCAACAATTTACTCATCAGTTCTTCTTTTCAGCAACTGAATTTGTTTCAATATGTTTCATATTGCAACTGTGTTCTAAGAAATACGAAATTGATAAATGGAAAATCATGACAGTTATCTGTATTAGTTTCGTTCATTTACTCATAGGGGGCGTTGATCAGTTTTTCGTGCAGATGTTTCTCGGAGAAGGAAGGAATTACCAGAAAATGCGGAATTTTGGTTTCATGGTACCAGATCTGTTACATATAACTATACCTATGCAAGTTTATCGGAGATCATGGAATAGCATTCAAAGTGTGAACAAACAGCAACAGTTATTTACAAAAAAAGATGTCGGTTATGCTGTCTCTGCAATATGTGGTGGTTTTATAATAGGTAAATTAATCCTTCGGTGACTGGAACAATTAAAAATAAAATATCCTCAGGAAAATTATGTAATTGATTCCGACTAGTAAGGCATATTTAGTTGTGTGGTGCATTGCTTGAACTTAAGTAAATCAGAAATAACCATGTTGAGGTTACTTAATGATAATTGTTCAATGAAGGCCTGGAGCCTGACGTCTGCATCCAGAAGTAAATATTAGTACAACTCTTAGTCTATCGGCATATACTGAACGGGTTTTTCACACGCAGAGTTTCTTAACATACTATCATACATCATTAAAGTAATGCTCCCTGTGTTAATCAGATAATATCTAATTTAATCATTTGAACGCATATTTGTCACATTTATCTTTATAAGAAACCCATTTGCTAAGATAAGTAGCCGATTGTACGCTGTAGACTATCTTTGAACATGTTTACTGTGAAACCTCTTTATAACGCCCATAGTTACATTTGCCACCTCGTTTATCATCAACGTAGTTCATTGTCCCTTTTTCTTGTTAACTTACTAGTTCATTTAAACATTTTCTTCAATCTATTGACAAACCCTTTTGTAATGCCAATTTTTTTTTTTACAAATGGTGACAGTATAACGAGGTTTTACTTTAGTTGTACGCAATTGAGTTTCATTTTATAGAATGTTATATACTAGAATATACATTTTTATTAACGTACATATCCAAGTAATTTTGTAAACTGTGATTTTTTTATTTGCGATTGTGTCTGAATATGAATATGTATGACATATCATATCATATAGAATGTTCTTCCATTCTCGATACCCAGGGTTTACGCTCACTTTCCCTCTCTGCACCCCTGGAATGTGTCATAGAAAATTTGAAGGCGAGAACATAGCTGTTTGATTGGTCTCGGGTAAAAACAAACTGGCCTATCGCTAGGTTGATACCTGTCCTTTGAATATTACAAAGGAGAGATGCCCGACTTCAAAGCCTGTCAATTTTAACCGTTACGTGACCGCGAGATTCTTTTGATGTACATCAAACGATCGAACTAATCTTCTTGTCTCATCAACAAGCTAGGTGGAGCACACTGAACCGTCAATTTTACTATGACATATTCCAGGGGTGCAGAGAGCGAAGGTGAGCGTAACCCCTTGATATCGAGGATGATTTTCTCCGTGGCCAAATGTATGTTATATACCCATGCTGGAACCAACTGGTAAATCAGACCGTGATAAACAGACCGAAACAGGATATACATGTAACTAAATGTCAACAAAATCATAATTTGTTCTCAATAATCGAAACAAGGGAATTATGTGGGGTTCCCTGAGTGGGTCTCTAAACTTTTGTTATTTCGAATTTTCAGGACTACAGACTTGTCGTTGTGGCGTTGTAATTATTTTCAGAATAAGCTTGAAAGTTGTATTGCACGTTTCTGTATTACCAGTCTGTTTAGACTGAAAAGAAACTTAAACTTGATTTTATACTTTGTATTGGACCTATAAAACATATCCTGGCTGTAGTCTAGTCCTTGATTTGAACGAATACACATATTCAGTTTCTGAATTTCTTGAATTTACATTGACAAAATATAAACACTTTACCAAATGATATGTATACACGTGCTTACTCGAGCCTAAGGCAGCTACGCTACTGTTAAATGAGCAAAGGAAAATTGTGCATGGGAATCCTTTTCTTATTCGCAGAAAATAGGACCAGGTGTTCCGGAAGGATAAGCTTATTCTGCTTCATCCATATCATATTTCCCTATGGGATAATGGTGGCGATCATAGATATAAATCATAAACCAGAATGTTGTCTCTTCTGATCCATTAAACAAAGAAACTGATCATAATGAAACCCTCCATATAAGGGGTTTGATCACATTAAACAAATGTCTTATTCCCTATAGTTGTTTGCATACACTTGTAAAGTGCTTGTTTCCTGTTATTTTGCCATGTGCAATACGTCATTTGTAATTGTAATTTGTCATCAAAAGGAAAACCATGGGCTATCATCTATGTGTGTGCTAAAAAAAGCTCCTTCATTATACCATGTGTTATAGAATAAATGTATTTCGTTCAATATGCAATTTATGACAATATTTTGTAACGTTTATTGATGGTATTGACGACTGAAATTAGCAGCTGTTTGTAATATATCATCATGATTAATTCTGTTTACAATATGTTTTCATTCTACGTTAAGCGAGTACATGTGAGCTTGATCCATCCCATTTAGTCTATATCTATCCGTTCGTCCGTCCGCCAGCCTTTTTTCCTTTATAAGAACTCTGATGAAAAGTCATAAGGCTGAGGTCCGTGACAATTTGCACGCAGCGTGTTTGGTGAAGGACTGTGAAGGACTGCTCGATTTGTCGTACTCACAAGAACGAGTAATATGCCTACTCCAAAACAAGGGCTTACATGTAGGTATAACCGAACAAGCTCCATTTCTGTGAAGTGAAAGCGTTAAACTGTCACGAAGCCTCCATAATTTATTAATAAAATGACAACATTGTACATACAAGGTAATTAATGGTTTTTTTTAGTCACCTGAGCTTTAGCTATCCGTCTTCGTCCGTCGTCGTCCGTCGTGTCGTGCGTCGTCCGTTAACATTTCCAACTTAAGCTGAAATACCGGCAAAGGGATTTCATTAATATTTCATGGGAAGGTTACTGACATCTCCCTGACCAAGTGTTGTTATTTTTCGGGTCGATCAGAAATCCAATATGGCCGCCACGGCCGCCATTTTGAAAAACTATTTCAAACTTTAAGTCAAGTTCTGCTAGGCCGATTGAACTGAAACTTTGTAGGAATGATCGACTCATGGTCCTGACAAAGTTTTGTTATTTTTCGGGTCGATCAGAAATACAATTTGGCTGCCATGGCCACTATTTTGAAAATACAAATTTCATACTTAAAAACAAGTTCTAATAGGCCGATCTAACTGAATACCGGTCTAGGAAAGATCAGCACATGGTCCTGACAAACTTAAGTTAACGTTATACTTAACAATTTTTTACTGAAATTGGTACATATTTCAACAACAAAAATAAATACTGTAGGACTCAGGTGACCGTTAAGGCCCATGGGCCTCTTGTTTAAAACGTCATTTTTCTTGATCTATCAGATTCATTCATAATGTAATATTTCAATTCCTACTCAAGTTGGACTCGATGCAATTACCAAATGTAACCTGTTTCATTTGTCGACGAATTTGACCAGATTAACTTTGCCTGTGCGTATGATTTTGCGAAGGGAGATAACTATTAACATGTTTAAACAAAGACGATTCCACCTGCTTAGATTTTACATTTATTTGAAGCTACACAAGAAATTGTTAAAACAACCAAAAAATATCAATTGGCGAGATATTATCAGCTCACGGTTGCTAGCGGTAGTGTACATGTACATGTACTGCCCTAGAAATTATCCCTCCAGCCACGGACTTTGCTAACTATAATCTGATTCCGTGCTCCAGCTAACCATTCTGTCTTTTGTGTCAATATCAACCCCGGTACAAAATCGAAAACAGCGTAGATTCATGTGGTCCCGTTTATATGAAATGCAGTCGTACAGCCAACCTACTATATCAAATTATTTCGTCTGTCTCATATCCATTTTATTGTTATATTGCCGATTCCATATTCACATATCATGTGTACAAGGCGACAGGGAGGTTCCTTATCAAACGCTTTCATAGAGCCTCTGTATAAATTACATCATATGATATAAAACATCATTGCGCTTTGATTCGTTTTCAAAAAATCTTCCCGATGAGATGTAAGCTCCAGTTGGCTATGTTTGTTCTTCGTGTTCTATAGGACTGCTCCCAGATATAATGATTGCAGTATACCTATTCCGTCTTTGCGTATTGCAGAGTTATCTGCTCTTGTGAGCAAATATTGATTGTTACGTCATTAGTTTGTGTGAGAAAAGTACGTCGTTTTCTCAAAATTTCATGACGTTACTCTCACAAACAAATGACGTAACAATCAATACCTGCTTACAAGAGCAGATAACTCTGCAATTAGAAAAGACGAAATACCTCAATGTGTAACATCAGCACATAAAACACAACCATATGCTACCTTTTAGTTGATTAGTGAACCGTAGTCAATATCTGAAAGTAGTGTTCCATCGGTACTTCCCTTTGTCTGGTTCATATTTCATATACCCTGTCCCCTGTAGTTGCCGTATTGGGGTACTAGTACTCTCATATGACTGTTGAGTGTGTGTTGTCTCGTGTTCCATGCATCTTGCTACTCATCCTCGATATCCAGGGATCATGCTTACCTTCGCTCTCTACACCCCTGGGATATGCCATAGCGAAATTGAAGGCTCGGTGTGCGCCACCTTGTTGATGAGACAAGAAGATTTGTTCGATCCTTTGATATACATCATGAGAATTTCGCGGTCACATAACGGTAAAAATTGACTGGCTTTAAAGTCGGGCGTCTCTCCTTTTTATACGACTGTCAAATTTGATGGTAGTATTATGGTATGGCGTTGTCCGTCCGTCCGTCCGGCGTAAACTTTGTTTGTCCGGCAATCCCCTCCTACATTTTTCGACTGTTCTATTTGAAACGTAGTATACATAATAATCATGATATGAAGTTGTGTCCCCCCTAAACGAATTTTGATTCGACAATTTTTCCAAAAGTTATTGCCCTTTGTTCATTTCAGTATTTGATTTTTTTTGTCCGGCAATCACCTCCTACATTTTTCGACCGATCTCTTTCAAACTTGGTATACTTTATAATCATGATATGAAGTTGTGTCTCCCTTAAACGAAATTTGATTCGACGATTTTTGCATAATCTATTGCCTTTTGTTCATTTCAGTATTTGATTTTTTGTCTGAAGATTTTCTCCTACATTTTTTATAGCATATCAGCTAACCACTCTTAGAATGGTGCAGATCTTATTTCAATGTCAGAAAGTGTATAAAACTATATGGCATTCGACGGGCGTATTTTGTTCCGCCCCGCGTTACTCTTGTTAATCTTCAAATGACAGGTATCAGCCAAGCGGTTGGTAAGGCATGTCTCTCAAAGAGCTTGTTCTGAATATGATCCATCAAAACCATTCAGATCACAAACTTACGTTACACAGCCTGTTCCGAAAACATCGCACTGTAACCAATCTCTATGTAACAGCATCTAAGAATGAGTTCAAACAAGTTAGCTGTGCAATGTTTTGAAGATTTGTGGCATAGATTTTTACAACAGCAATTATTTCAGATCAAATTGTAAGTAATCCGCTTGGGGTACATTATTAGTTATCTTTGGGTTAGGAGGGGTCTACGGGCTCATAGACCCCGTCTGATCTATAACGACCAAAGGGGTCTATGAGCCAGTAGACCCCTCCTAACCCAGAGATAACGAATTTGTCGCCCTGACAATCTGTTAAAACATTTTTTCCTGCAAAATTATAAGTCACGTTGTGAGTTTCAGTTGAAAGGTGATAGTACCCAAATCTGATCACCAAACCATCATTTTATTCATTCATTGAAAAATCTGAAGAGGAATTATATTAATCTATAGTTGTATCAAAAGAAGAATATCGATGGGTGTTCTTACAAACTAAATTAGCACCGGTGTTCACTTGAGATATTTATAGAACGCTTTGAAGTCACCAATCACCGTTTCCAATTTTTTGCGAATGTCAGGACCCAAATCGGATCAAGGCTTGAATGAATATTTTTTGTCAGCATATTCAAATTTAATGATGACCTTTAGAATTTATATAACAAAACGTATTTCTATAGTGTGAATGTATTCCTATAGTCCAAAGCAGAATGCATAGTCGTCGCACGCGCCATGTTTTAAATACGTAATCAAAACACTGACATTTTGAGTTTGAATTACGTTTTGTAGTGCTAAATGAACTTAAAAACTAACCATCTGTAGACAAAACATGTTGCATGGCTATCTATTATAAGGTTTCATCATTGTTATAACTGATTTGTTGACACATGTATTGATTTATAAGTATATTTTGCAAAATGTGATTCGATTCGGGTACTGTTACCTCACTTGACTGCTACTGTACCAAAGTAGCCCGTACCGGACATCTTTTAAGACACATTTTAATGCATTTTTCTTTGACAAAACACAACCATCTTTGCAATAAGCACCCTAGAGGTACCATCAGCGTCTGTTTAGTTGAATTCGCTGTCGTTTAGATTCAAGTTTAAGTTATCTCCCCTCGCACGTGCTTTTATAGACTCCGCCAGAGCGCGGTCTATAGAAATATAGACCCCGTCAAGATATCCAATCAGAAAGAGTGTAAAAATTAGAAGGGTGACAATTGCCTATATTTAAAATTATGTATGCACTATGTATGTCTGTTTCCCTTTCTCGATATCCAGGGGTTACGCTCACCTTTGCTCTCTACACCCATGGAATATGTCATAGCAAAATTGAAGGCTCGGTGTGCGCCACATTGTTTATCAGGCAAGAAGACTAGTTCGATCCTTTGATGTACATCAAAATAATCTCGCGGTCACGTAACGGTAAAAATTGTCAGGCTTTGAAGTCGGGCGTCTCTCCTTTTTAATCTTCAATGGACAGGTATCAGCCAAGCGATTGGTCAGGTTTTTTTTTACCTGAGACCAATCAAACCTCTATCTTCGTGCTTTCAAGTTTGCTATGACATATTCCAGAGGTCTATAGAGCGAAAGTGAGCGCAACCCCTGGATACCGAGGATGTGTTTCCCTATGCTTTGCCTAAATTTACATGGTATTACTTCTGTTACATAATGTGTATTTACCCGACTTTGGCAGATAATTGAAATAGTTGACATTATCACCATTTCTATTTTTTTGAAACGATACCATTGTTTATCAACTTTCAAAAAATACTACAGGTAACTTATATATACAATTATGTAGGACTGAATGTTCCGGATATTCTTATTTGGCTTCAGTGTTTATATGATATCGCATTGATGATGTCCTTCCGGTTGTTTTGGTATCGCCTCAGTTCCTGTTGATGATGTCCTTCCGGTTGTTTTGGTATCGCGTCAGTTCCTGTTGATGATGTCCTTCTGGTTGTTTTGATATTGCCTCAGTTCCTGTTGATGATGTTCTTCCGGTTGTTTTGATATCGCCTCAAATGCTGTTGATGATGTCCTTCCGGTTGTTTTGATATTGCCTCAGTTCCTGTTGATGTTGTCCTTCCGGTTGTTTTGATATCGCCTCAGATGCTGTTGATGATGTCCTTCCGGTTGGTTTGGTATCGCCTCAGTTCCTGTTGAAGATGTCCTTCCGGTTGTTTTGGTATCGCATCAGTTCCTGTTGATGATGTCCCTCCGTTTGTTTTGGTATCGCCTCAGTTCCTATTGATGATGTCCCTCCGGTTGTTTTGGTATCTCCTCAGTTCCTGTTGATGATGTCCTTGCGGTTGTTTTGATATCGCCTCAAATGCTGTTGCTGATGTCCTTCCGGTTGTTTTGGTATCGCATCAGTTCCTGTTGATGATGTCCCTCCGGTTGTTTTGTTATCGCCTCAGTTCCTGTTGATAATGTGCTTCCGGTTGTTTTGGTATCGCCTCAGTTCCTGTTGATGATGTCCTTCTGGTTGTTTTGATATTGCCTCAGTTCCTGTTGATGATGTCCTTCCGGTTGTTTTGATATCGCCTCAAATGCTGTTGATGATGTCCTTCCGGTTGTTTTGGTATCGCCTCAGTTCCTGTTGATGTTGTCCTTCTGGTTGTTTTGGTATCGCCTCAGTTCCTGTTGATGCATTTTTTTGTATCCAGTACAGGTTAGGATTCTTATGCCTTAACTGTGTGGTATTTGTTTTCCCAAATGGTAGCCGATTTCATGTTCACGGCATTTGATGAAAAGAAGATTTAATGCTTAAGTGACAACATTGTTTATGTTGCAAGGACGTAAATAACAACAACAAAACCTCATTTTGTTCACAATTAATTTATTCTGTAGTTCAATAATTCAAGGCACCTTCGTCAAAGTATACACACTGAAAAACATTTGAGAATATTAGTTCACAAAATACTTTCAACAATTTTATCAATATTAAACTATATCTTAATGATAGTGACAAAAGATTATGTATACTCTGTAATTAATTTTATTTAAAAAAGTAGGAAACGCTAAAAACAAAAACTGATATTTTAGAAAAATATTATAAGAGTTATTTCCCTTATATCATAATAATGCTCCATTTATTTTAACAAAGAGATAAAAGGATATGCAGTTATTATTTCAAATTAATCTAGTACATCAATGTTCAAATAGGTGTTACGTGTATATAATGCAAATTGAAGTACAACCGTTAATGAAACAGAAAATGAGTATTGTATATTTAATACTTAGATGAATAACTATATCGTACAGCATCTCATCCTTGATATATCTGCACCCCTGGAATATGTCATAGCAAAGCTGAAGGCTCAAAGATAGCTGTTTTATGGGTCTCAGATAAAACAAACCTGGCCAAAATTGCTCGGCTGATACCTGTCCTTTGAAGATTACAGGTGAGCGACACCCGACTTCAAAGTCAATCAATTTGTATCGTTACGCGACCGAAAGATTCTTTTGATGTACTTCAAAGAATCGAACAAGTCTTCTTGTCCCATCAACACGGTGATGCACACTGAGCCTTCAATTTTGCTATGACATATTCCAGGGGTGCAGAGAGCGAAAGTGATTGTAACCCCTGGATATCGAGGATGTCAACACCTGTGATAGAATTTCTCAATTCTGGTTTACATCTTGTAAACTACAAATATTCTTAAAACAACAATTCCAAGACAATACAATTTGGTTGTTACATTAAGGTATTTATTGTACGACTCTTGATAAGTTTAACTCCATAGATTAAGTCAACGAGCACATGTACTGATGGCAAAATACATCATTTCCTTAAGTCGGTATGAAATGTAAGAGTCATATGATTTCTGATAAATCACATGTAAAGCATCACCCCTGTTGACGTCAGAATTAATTAGCAATTCGATTGTGCTGCCAATGCATGCCAAAGACAAATGTTCCAAGGCCAAAGAAAATTAAGTATGTTTCCGCTATCATCCAAAATTGGGTAGATAGGTATTTTTTCTTGTTTTGGAAAATATGTCTGTTATGCTAACAGTGCATATCACTATATGTCAATACAAACTTTAGGGTAGGCACAGTTTCTAGGGTAAGTAGGGCTAGCGCAAACACAAGATTTGTTTTTATTGGCGTGATGTTCCCATACAAAATTTATTCACAAAACAGCGATTATTACATGTACGTGCAATTTCGGCCATAGGGTTAAGCATTTCTTCAAATCCTTGTCAAACTCCCTGGACCTCGATTAATGAAAATCAAAATCAAATAATATAAATGAATTATGATCTTAACTTGTTATAAAAGACAATCGGCATATTGACATGTACATGAACAGCATGGTCCGGGCTTGTAACATTATGCGTTAAAACGTTTGTTGAAGTTGTTTGTATTAAGGAACCTGATCTGTGACACTATCAGTATTCATTTAGATATGACATACTTCATTTTTTCAATCAGAGTGCAAACTAGAATGTCGGATTATACTTCTAAGTAATAAAACGTCAAAGAAGGCATCATTTACACACAACTAAAAGCCGTCTCCGCGATGTACTTAACTCATTCAATCCTGGTATTTCATAATGAACTATTCCAACCATTGAATTGGAAGAGTTAAATGTGTCTTCAGGGTTGAATGAGTTAATTTATGACAGATATACATACTTTAGTAGTCTTTGTGATGTTTAACAGTTTAATGTTACATCAGCCTTTTGTATTTTGTACAGTTCATAGAGGTATGAAATAGGGATTTTTCCAATGTTTATGCAAGTATGCATGTTTAAAAATTAACGTGAAAATAATGAGGTCTAGTAAAAACTCATTTTTGCAAAACTTGTTATATAATGATGATAATTTAACATTACCACAAATATAACGATACAAAGAAATAATGATAAACTGTAGATCAAGCATTTCTTTCTCGGCGAGTTTGGTTTGTGCAAGGGGAGACAATTCACATGATCGACAATGATCTATTGAAAATTTTGGATTTGAAAGTTCTTTAAAGTAGTTTAATGGAAAACAAAACAGTCGTTCATACTAACAATAACAGCTGTTTTTTGGGTCACGTGTGCTACTATTAGTCAATTACAGAACTCGAAACAGAGCACAAATCAGATTTTGAATTATGTATATATAACTACAAATTGATGCAGATTACAAGGTGCCGCCCTACCAATGTTTCCCCGTGTCTGCCGTCCTGACATCTACGAAATCATTTATCATTCTGGTGTTGGTAGAATCCCAATGGCTGATTGGCTCTTGTTAACCGAAATATGAAAAAAACCCTCTTCTAATGTGAAATTGGATTGGGCTGATTACAGCTATTTTAAAGTATACGTTTATTGATCTGAATGTCATGATTGTATTTGTAGTTTTTACTGCATAAAAAATTGAGACGGAAATGAGATTCGCATCAAGTCTCTGATATACAAAATGTACATTTTATTAATGGAACATATGCAAACTTAGACGTAAATTTCTAAGAGCAATCACGTTGGCACATAAATAATATATATAGATACGTTTCGCTGAACACTGTTAAGTTGAAAAACATGATTTTATTTGCTTTAGTTGAACTTGTTACTATAAACCCCGTAGAACCGAGGTATGACGTATTGATGACGACTGTGATTATATATCATACAGTTCTTGTTTTGTTTTTACAAATTGCCATCTTAATTGTTGATCTAACAGTGACAATGATTCGAAACGAAATACTGCGTGATAAAAGACGATCAATGTCAAAGTGTCCAAATACGTGTTTCTATTTTACTTCGGCAAATATTAATAATCTTAAGCTTGTTCAGATGGATAGACAAGTTCACAACGTCGTGGTGTAAGATATCCGGAACCCTAAAATCTGGCTCCCGAGTCTGTTTGCATATTATAGTATCCCTTGAATGTTTTCACATCGTCATCTGCGGACCTGCATTCCAGGCCGGACATCTTTGTACATACAGCTCTCGGGCTTCATCTGGAAAATAAAAAAAGTTCCTACGCTGATCATAGTCGTAAAGGAAGTTTTTAGATGTTACAACGCATGGTTTTAATGGCGTGTTGTATGAAACTAGTCTTACCCTAGCAATATCAGATATCCGGAAATAGCAATGACGAAGCGTTCAAATGATAATGTACACTGATCATACACCCAAATGATGACTAGATCACGTAGGATGTTTTAACTGTATGGACATGTACTACCGAAACAGCTGCATCACATAATTATTCAATGAAATATCAAAAAAAAAAAAAGTTTTGCCCTGAGAAACTCGGGCTAACCAATTATTTTACAATGACATATTTTTTTTTCAATGGAAACAAAAATATAAATACTCAATATTTCTAAAAGCATATATTTCAACACATCTCAGATCTGACTGTACTGATCAAACGAATCACTGGTTGATATATGAATTTTATCTTGAAAACACAAAGGATGGTAGGAGAAAGCCCCGATCACTAACAAGACAATACAAAACCCTCATAGAACTATGTAATCGGACAAACAAATATGATGATAATGAAACATAAATAAAATTCAGATTCAAAAAATGTATTGACAAAAACGTAGCTTATAACAAATATATAATTTAATGATAAACGAAATGGGTACGGACAATTCTATTCTGATTTGACAATGTTTGAGCTGCATGCCTAGTTTATGAACAAAATGGATTCGTGATGGACTTATTTTTAGTATGCTCATTAACTGTTCAGTGACACTCCATCACCTCTGTAGTCAAGCTAACTTAAGCCCAATAACACTGCAGCACCTCTGTTGTAAAGTTAACTTAAGACCAGTGACACTGCAGCACCTCTGTAGTAACGTTAACGTAAGACCAGTGACACTGCAACACCTCTGTAGTAACGTTAACTTAAGACCAGTGACACTGCAGCACCTCTGTTGTAAAGTTAACTTAAGACCAGTGACACTGCAACACCTCTGTAGTAACGTTAACTTAAGACAGTGACACTGCAGCACCTCTGTAGTAAAGTTAACTTAAGACCAGTGACACTCCAGTACCTCTGTTGTAACATTAGCTTAAGACCAGTGACACTGCAGCACCTCTGTAGTAAAGTTAACTTAAGACCAGTGACACTCCAGTACCTCTGTAGTAACATTAACTTAAGACCAGTGACACTGCAGCACCTTTGTAGTAAAGTTAACTTAAGACCAGTGACACTCCAGTACCTCTGTAGTAACATTAACTTAAGACCAGTGACACTGCAGCACCTTTGTAGTAAAGTTAACTTAAGACCAGTGACACTCCAGTACCTCTGTAGTAACATTAACTTAAGACCAGTGACACTGCAGCACCTCTGCAGTAACGTTAACGTAAGACCAGTGACACTGCAGCACCTCTGTTGTAAAGTTAACTTAAGACCAGTGACACTGCAGCACCTCTGTAGTAAAGTTAACTTAAGATCAGTGACACTGCAGCACCCCTATAGTAAAGTTAAATTAAGACCAGTGACACTGCAGCACCTCTGTAGTAAAGTTAACTTAAGACCAGTGACACTGCAGCACCTCTGTAGTAACGTTAACTTAAGACCAGTGACACTGCAGCACCTCTGTAGTAACGTTAACCTAAGACCAGTGACACTGCAACACCTCTGTAGTAACGTTAACTTAAGATCAGTGACACTGCAGCACCTCTGTAGTAAAGTTAACTTAAGACCAGTGACACTGCAGCACCTCTGTAGTAAAGTTAACTTAAGATCAGTGACACTGCAGCACCTCTGTAGTAAAGTTAACTTAAGACCAATGACACTGCAGCACCTCTGTAGTAACGTTAACTTAAGACCAGTGACACTGCAGCACCTCTGTAGTAAAGTTAACTTAAGACCAGTGACACTGCAGCACCTCTGTAGTAAAGTTAACTTAAGACCAGTGACACTGCAGCACCTCTGTAGTAAAGTTAACTTAAGACCAGTGACACTGCAGCACCTCTGTAGTAAAGTTAAAGTAAGACCAGTGACACTGCAGCACCTCTGTAGTAAAGTTAACTTAAGACCAGTGACACTGCAGCACCTCTGTAGTAAAGTTAACTTAAGACCAGTGACACTGCAGCACCTCTGTTGTAACGTTAACTTAAGACCAGTGACACTGCAGCACCTCTGTAGTAAAGTTAATATAAGACCAATGACACTGCAGCACCCCTATATTAAAGTTAACTTAAGACCAGTGACACTGCAGCACCTCTGTAGTAAAGTTAACTTAAGACTAGTGACACTGCAGAACCTCTGTAGTAAAGTTAATGTAAGACCAATGACACTGCAGCACCCCGATAGTAAAGTTAACTTAAGACCTGTGACACTGCAGCACCTGTGTAGTAAAGTTAACTTAAGACCACTGACACTGCAGCACCTCTATAGTAAAGTTAACTTGAGACTAGTGACACTGCAGAACGTCTGTAGTAAACTTAATTTAAGACCAATGATACTGCAGAACCCATATAGTAAAGTTAACTTGAGACTAGTGACACTGCAGAACGTCTGTAGTAAACTTAATTTAAGACCAATGACACTGCAGCACCCCTATAGTAAAGTTAACTTAAGACTAGTGACACTGCAGAACCTCTGTAGTAAAGTTAATTTAAGACCAATGACACTGCAGCACCTCTGTAGTAAAGTTAACTTAAGACCAATGACACTGCAGCACCTCTGTTGTTAAGTTAACATAAGACCAATGGTACAATTATGTTTATGCTTTGAAGCACATATATTGTATTATAGTTCTGCCGAAGGGTCGGATGCAGTTTTATTTGGTAAGTGTAACTAAACTAAACATCCAGAAACAATATAATAACATTACCATATTTGTAAAATGTGTTATTGTTCATGATTTCTGTTAACATTACAACTCTTCTACCTTCCCCTGTTATGTATCCCTATTCACGTCCCTATCCCTAAGCTATAGTTGTTAATGTTGATTAACAATAATTACAATAATTGGAGGTTCTTATATACCGCTTTATCACAACCTAGTTCGTAGGTCGTCTCAAAGCGGCCTTTGCAACCAGCCAATATCTTTATCAACTCCCTGGGGAGCATACAGCCGGTGCTGCCATCTCGGCGCTCACCGCTACCATTCAACAATTTTTGCTCTACCCAACCACGTACTCATTTACAGCTCAGTAAACTGGAATAAGCAGAGTAAAGTATCTTGCCGTGCCGTGACTCGAACCCGCAACCCTTTGGTCACGAGCCCGGCGTCATACCACTAGACTATCGTGCCGTGCCTCATGCTATGAAAGGTAAAAGATTAATTTAAGTGTATTAACACTTGTTTCTGTCTCCAATTCATTTATGTTAAATCATGTTTGTATTATGTATTACCTATGTAATGTAAATAAAACAAAGTTTATACCAACATTGGCAGGCTATAAAACATTTACAATTTATATTATATAAATCAGCAGTTCTCTCAAAGAAACGTTTGTTGTAACAAACATAATTATATAAAACTAAATAATGCAAATGTGTCTATACATGTTTATGCATCAATTCCTCGTATTATATTCATCTAAGGACACTTGCTTCTGTTTTGGACATTTGAGGTAAATTAACAATAAATATGCCACCGTTAATAAAATATGGAGTAAAAGTTTAATCAAAAATAAATATTTTGGTAAGAAAATGTTTAGCAATATATCAAATGTCAATTAAGTGTATGCAAATCTAAAACGGTTCTAGCCTGGCACAGCACTAACAATGTATATTTCAATATAAGTCGAGTTGTAACGGTGAACTGGAATTTAGCGACTAGTATATATGTATTTTTATATATTAATAGATAGAGGGAAAACATTCTACGTGTAGGGTTTTCACGGCCTAAACTTTGGAATCACTTTAATAATAAAATGTGGAATGTGCATGCGCGAGATGATTAAGCACATAAAGTAATAATACACTTTATTTTCGTGCAAAGTTGAAATATAAAGTCAAAACTCGTACTGTGTACCTACGTACATTTTAAAGTGCAAATACAAAGACCAAGTCATTAAATTCTTACAGTGTGGTGTACAGATGAATGTAAATTAGACATCGAACACTATGTCTATAAACCTAGGATAAACCCTTTGTTCCTCTCTCAACACAATCCATTGTCACAAGTATTAAACATATTTTATAACATTTGTATAACGCAGTAACACTTTCTATTTTACTATGTACTGTAAGAATTTGATTTAAAGGTAAGTAATTATTACATTTATTATTATGTTAGTGTACATATTTCTTCTTGCTAACAATATTAATGGTCATTGGTTATTACACAGCCTTACTTAAAACATATTTTAAGCTTTTAAAAGTATTTGTAAATTCAATGCATTGTATTGTACTGCAGATATCATTTGTGAATTTAGTATGTCATAGTTCAATACAATACATCATATAACATTCAATATATTGAAAAAAGATTTTAATGAAACTTAATTGTTCCAAATAATACCTTCCTTACAAGTGTTTTTCTACTGTTTGCTTTAACACCAAGATGCCTTTCCCAACTTATATTGTTTCTACATACATTTTGTAAAGTTAAGTAACGCTGATAGGTCGTAACTGGACGAAATAACCACGTGACTCAATATATGTTCATTTCGTTTGACTCTCTATATGTAAAGATAAAATGATTCAATAGGTGTTCCCTTCTATACATTTTACATGGTATTTCTTTAGATTATATATTAAAGGTTTTAATAATCTTGACCATTGCTTATCATTTTTATCTACCTATCATCAATAGTCAAAACAATGCTGAAGACCGTTCATTGTGAACAAGCTAAACTAACATGATTCATAACATATATAAAACCAACTTATTTTCACTGTGAAAGTATACAGACATGTATTTACAATGTGGACAATAGGGTAACATAATTGCAGGCGGGGAAAAAAACACTCTTTTCTAACGTCAGAAAAAAGTCATGTTTATATAGTATTTTACGTCATCAATAGGAAAGAGGTTACACT